TTACTTTTTGAGTAACTGTAACTGTAACATGTTGCTTTTCAGAGTCGGTGTAACTTGTAACGGTAACTAGTTACTTTTTGAGAGACAAAAACTGTAACTGTAACTAGTTACTTTTACAAAGTAATTTTTCCAACCCTGATTTTTTTGTATGTATTGCTTTTTCTGATTTAAAAATCCTTCTTCAGAATTAAACAATAGGAAATAACAGAATAAAATCGATTTTATATAAAAAATCGAAAAAATTTTCGAAAATTACGGTTTTATTTGAGACTTCTCTTTTGTTATTACAATCAAAAATATTCTGAATATTTAGCGATATTAAAGAAATATCTACAGGAATCCCTTTCTGTTTTTACCACTGAGTTTTTGTCTGGCCCCAAGCAACGGAAAATTCAGTTATATTAAAGGAATATTTTTTGTAGTTTAATGTATTTACATCAAAGCAACAATATCAAAGATGTTAATAATTTGTTGGCTTGAATTCGTATTTGGGATTATATTATGTTATTAAACTTCTAAATTTACCCGGGAAAAAAGTTCCACATATAATTTATAATTATATGCAAAATATGGCCATATATGTTTTTTTCTTTGTAAAATTATTCTTTAATACAAAATTGATAATAATAAGAAGGAAACATAAAAAAAATAATTAAAAGAATAATTGTTACATTGTTTTTTTTACAAAAAATCAAGTTTGAAGAAATAAGAAAAATTGTTCATATAATTATATATGTATATTTTTAATCATTTATATATGGTTATATATGAGCAATTTTTCTCATTTCTTCAAACTTTATTTTTTGTAAAAGAAACCAATGTAAAAATAATTTTTTAAATTATTTTTTATGTTTCCTTCTTATATTATCAATTTTGTATTGAAAAATAATTTTACAAAGAAAAGAAACATATATGAACATATTTTGCATATAATTATATGTAATTATATATGGAACTTTTTTCTCGGGGCATTTAAAAAGAACCGATTTACATCCGATGCTTCATGGGCTTAAAAAGGGCTCAGATTAAGCTAGTTCAGGCTTTCCCTTCACTATAGCCATTTTGTTGAACGTGCGAGTGATTGTAAGATTACAAGCGCAAATTTTGTTTAAAATTATTGAAAATTTAATTACTTTTATTCAAATTCGAAGAAAATAACAATACATACATCAAGAGAGCTGTAGATATATGGTATTACATAACTAACATCGTAAAGAAAAAAATTTACAATTAAATTTGAGAATGCCTTCAACGGTCATGACTGGATCTTGGTGTCTAATAATTTCTATTTATAAATTTCTTAACTCCTTAGGCACCAAAATTCAGCCGTAACCGTTGAAGACTCTTTCAAATTTAGTTGTGTATTCATATATGCGGTCTAGTTCAAATTATAATTATTGTTTGAACAAATTTAATAAATAGTTTAATAAATTATTATTTTTCTGGTACTTTTAGGGAAATACGCAAAGAGGAATAATGCAAAAGGAAAAAAGACTCATAATGAAGGTGAAGAAAACTCTTCTTCCTTCAGAATTTCAAAAGATAGCAAATCTAAAGCGGGATCGAAAGTAACAATATTTTATATTAACATAATGAATCTCTTTTAAAACATATATATAGACATGATATATAAATAATATATGATTTTTTTAGATTCCAGACTAGAATAAAACAGTTGTATGTACATACATGGGACAAATGTTAATGTGGCTTAAACACAATATGCATCCGAAAGCAAAGGCATATACCAAAGATGAATCAATGAAATTAATTAGAAAGTGAGTATATCTCACTTTTAAAAACAAATTACAGAATTTTGTAAATATGTTAATTTTATTAAATTAAGTTTAAATTACTTCACTTATTTTTGTAAACGTACATTTTACTTCAAGATATATTGAAAGAAACGATGAATATTTGAAGCTAATTGCAATGAATCGTTCTATGGGAAGAGGCACGCAATATGCTGAAAGAGACGAGGAGAAGATAAAGATGACCAGATGGGACGAGCAGGCAATGTTCGACACTGATGGAATTAGTTCGTATACTTTCTTTTTTTAATAGCATATACGTATCATTAATTTGTAAATAGTGCATAATGCAATGTTATTTTCATACATAGGAATTCCAGACATTTTATGTCCAAAACAATGCAAATTGTTAAAGAACTGGAATGGTGATTTGAACCTTTTACATACCTTTAAGTATGCAAGATTTAGAAGTAATAGAATAATCAAGAATAGAATGAATTTTCATTTATAGTTTCACACGAAAAATAACAAAGCATTATCAAAAAACCAAATAACAAAGCAATACTAAAAATACCAAAAGTATCAAAATTGTATTAATATGCATTTAGAATATAAGGAATAAAGTAAAACTAAAGCCTAGTCTAAAATTATATTAATCTTTTCCATACAAACGATATTTCGAGTCCTTTCAATTTTTATTCATCATGGAAATTTCTAACTTCTAAAGTTGTTCCTCACTCCTTAACTTCTTCTAAAAAATCTGCACATAATGGAGATCTTCGTATGATAGGACGAAATTATCAGTCTTCCTGTGAACATAATCAATTCAACATCAACTTTTTATGAAAAATAAAAATTTTGCAAAAATCATTATAAGTATTCTATTTTCATTTTAAATTAATATCTCAATGCTTATTTTCACTTAAAAGTTATTTTCCTCAAAAAAACTCGTGAATTTGATACCAAAACAATCTTTAAGCATCTATGATATGATATACGATATATATAAAATAATAAAAACAACGGCTAATCAATTTCTTTCTTAAATATGAAGAAAGTTATTTTTTGTTGAATTGTTCATTATTATATGAAGTATTTTAGAAGTTAGAATCACATTTAGTATAAACACTATGAAAATTGATTATCTCTTCTTTATAAAATGTGTAGAAAATTTTATATATATATATATATATATATATATATATA